CGGCGCTCCTGGTGGCGGGTAAGGGCGGGCTCCGGGCCGTGAGGGGAGGACCCGGCCTGGAGCGGGTGGGGAGCTGTACGGCGGTGGCGAGCTGGGTGCACGGGGCACCTGGCAGTGAGGGAGCACTGCTGGGCTGGCGGGGACGGTCTGTAGGGAGTGGTGAGGGGTGTCTCTGGGCTTGGGTGCAGGTGGACTGTGTACTGAGGGCCCTGGCTGGGGACCCCGCGTCCTGAGCTGTGGGCACTTGGCGATGGGGATACCCTGGGCTTTGTGGGGGGGGTGGCCCCAGGCTGGGGGTCTGTTCTCAGCAGTTCAGGTGGCAGCTCTCCACCTAATAGGGCTTTGTGGAGTGCAGGCTGGTTGAGGGTGCTCTAAGTTATATCTTAATTTTTGTGAACGAAGCTGTGTGGAAATTGGGAGGATAGGGAGAGGGCAGGCAGCTTTACAGCGGGTGGGAGTCTTGGGCTGGAGAGGCAGGGTGGGAAAGTGTGAGTCGGAAGGGAGAAGGTAACCTTTGTTGCAGATAGCCACCTATAGAGGTTTACAGGTGGTCAGGTGAAGTGTCTGGAGAACTTTTCTAGGGACACATTAGGGCAGCTTCTCTCTATTAATAGCTAGGGCAATGTGGGAATAGAACACAAGAAGTTCCACCCTTCTTTTATCCTTATGCTTTGTCAGGAAAAAAAAAGTAAGATGGTGGTGAATGTCCTTATGAATTCTTGTGCCTTATTCCTACCCAGCCCAAGACACCACAGTCAATGCCTCTTCCCATCCTACCCTTAGGAAACACGGGGCTGCTGGGTTTCAAGCATCCTTCTGCAGTTGGGAGATGATTTGCTGTGCTGGTAGAGCCGAAGGTGAAGGAGTGGGATCTGCACCTCGTGGTGTGCATGGGGAAGGGTGTCCAGGATTACTGTGCTGTCAGTGCTGAGGGAGGAAAAGAGGAAATGTGTGCTGTGGAGCTCGGCAATGGGAGCATGTTGCCGGTTCTTTGCTGAAACATTTGCAACCTCTGGATGATGACTATGGGAAGTGCTGGATGGTGTAGAGTGGTTTGTAGGAAACTGCAAGTTGTTCCCGAGCGTAGCACTGGCACCGAATAGCCCTCTCTGCATGCTGAAACTAGCCATCAGAAGCAAAATGCTGCTTTGGTGAATTCTGATAGGACTATTCGAAAACTATAAAATGGTAATTTATCAGTTAATGTTTAGCTCTAACTGCTCTCTCTCTAAATGGAGGAAACTTCCTTTTCAGGCTAATGTAGTATTTGCTGTTTGACTTTTAGTGATTTTGTTGTATATACTTCAGTTTTAAAACCACATTTTTGCCTGGGACTAAACTTGAAAACGTTGTGGGTTTGTCTTGTTCATTCTTCTCTTGGTCTGCTTCATTTTCATGTTGTTGCGGGTTGGTGACTTTATTTGTGGTGGCAGCACCTGTTCTGTGTGACGGTTACACATATGTTTGTCAGAGGCAGGATGCCTGGTTTTTCTTGTCCAGTAAGTGGTGCTTATCTTATTTTGAGCCTTCTTTGCTGCAGTAACATTTTAAATTTTCCTACCACTTTTATCTGTTCCAAATTTTCCATGTGTGTTCTGCAGTACCTCCCCAGCCAGAAGGGAGGACAGAGGCTTTTGGCTTATTTCCCAGTTGACATCTGGGCAGATGTGCAGGTCAGCCAGCAGAGGTTGTGATGAAAGTCAGCCCGCTGTGGGTGATGCTCTCTGGGAATCTCGGCATTTGGTAGTCTTAGGTTTTTGCAGAAAATGACTCTGATGTTTCTCTGAGCTTGCTAGCATGCTGTATTTCTGTTTTCTCTGTCATCAAAGAAGATAAGCAATGGATGTCTGCAGTTGGAAACAGAGGGTAAAATTAAACCTGCTCAGTTTTGTGTTTCTTGCTCTGACCAATAAGAGTTTATTTTTGACTGAGTTGAATCTTAATGTAATGCTAAATATTATTTCTTTTACTTGTTTTCTCTCTTAAAGAAATGGAAGCAGCTGTCTCGACTACAGCGGAGCATAATTCTCTTCCTGTTTGCCTTCTTGGCAGTCTGTGGAGTCATTTCATACACAACCATGGGGGAACCATGGAAAAGTATGTGCTCTGTAATGGCTCAGAATTACCGGAATGTGGTGTTATATTTAAGAGATTGTTGTAGTTTTTATAACTAGTTTTAATTTTTATTGACAGTGACTGGGTGTATCCATTAAAGCACAGCTGTGAGATGATTTTTATATGATGTTTCAATGTTTCTGCTTAATCAGAAATATTTTTCATATCCCTTCTTATTATTTTGATTAGAGCAGTGTTTTGGTTTAGTTGATTAAGATTTGGAGGCTGTGAGTGGGGTTTTTTATGATGTTTGTTTGTAGATAGTGGTAACCCAAACCTAAACAGTAGAATAAGATAATCCTCTCCTTGTTTTGATTATCCATCAGATTAGAAATTCCAGGCTTTTCTACAATATGAAGGCACATTTGCCTTTGATATTATCTTACAGCCTGTATTGAGAAGCTAAAATAATAGCAATTAAAAAGAAGCATGTGTATTTCAGCAACCTCCTTGTATATTGGGGAGTGTTAATACCAAAAGACACTTTGTATGTGTTTATCAATGTTTTGTGAATGGAAACACTTTTTGGAGGTGCATCTTGTATGTGAATACAGCAAACTTACAAATTTCTAGCTGGAGCCTAAACTGTTGATTCCTTGTGCTGAGCAATTTTGTGTGTCTAGGTCTAACAAACAAATCATTGGATGATCAAAGAACAGAAACAGAAATTCCTGGATTAAAGCTGGCAAATCCAGCCGTTCTACCAGCACCCCAGAAAGCAGATGGCAACCTTGGAGACTACCCAGAGCTTTCACCACAGGTACTATGAGAAGAAATAAGTTTTATAAAGCTACCAAAGCGTTTGTGAAAGCTGCAAATAGTGCTTGGTTTCAGCAGTTGTTGAGAAAGGAGTTACAACTTGTTATAAAAGTCTGCTCTGAGTGGAATGCTCTCTTCTCAGGGAGAGCTTTGGTATAGTATTTCTTGGCTCTACTTTTCATGTGTAAGTGTTCAGTATACTATTTCCTAATCACTGATATACCTAAGAGTGCCATGACTTTAAGTCTTACTTGAGGCTTCACTTTCCTGCTACAATTAATTTGTTTGGACTTGGAGTGCTCTGGACATCAGTCTTGTTGTTGTGAGGAGCCTAAATAGAGTCGTGGCTGAATATGAGTCGTAGGATACTGTCAGTGTCACACTGAATTGAAATAGCTTTTCTGCAAGCTTGAAAAATAGCAGCAAACAGAACAGATGTTAGTAAGTTTTGAAGGGTTACATTTGTGGGGGCTGTGATGGGAAAGAAACATGAACTGGCTGTGTGGATTAGTGTGGTAGAGGAATACTGGTTACTGTGTTGCTCTTTGTGTATTTACCTCATGAATTTTGGGATTTCCGGTTAATACGAATTTTTGTATTAAATCTTTCCCTCACTCTGCACAAATGTACATATATTACTTGTATAGTAATTCTTGGTATTATCTAACAATAGCAGTGTAAGCTTTTTTTTTTCCCCTGATGCTTTTTGCTAATTCTGATGAAAAAATTTACTGTGCCTAGTAAAATGGAATCAAATATCTTTACAATCTTTTGGCAGTGCCTTGTGTAAAATTAAACACTGGTAGCAGTAGAGGTAGTTTAAAAGTAATTTATCAGTGTGAGTTTAAGAACTGGGTAAGTTTACCAGAAGTTTAAAACAAACAAAAAACTAAGGTCTTTAGCATACCTTCCATTCAGGGCAGAACTTGTATGCTGATATGATATCAAAATAAGATTTATCTGGAGTTATGTTTAACACTGGAATGCTGTTGATTTATGGTTTGAAATTTTACCATCTGTGCAACATACCAAGCACTTTTTTTTTTTTTCTTCTTTTCTCAGAAGCCACCAAAACCACCTCACGTTCGGCGTGGTCCTTCGAATCTTCAGAACAAGCCACCACAGAGGGATATGAGGCTGAAGACCCGACATGATACCAGCAAGGTTGTAGAAGAGCCAATCCAGGCTGATAAAGAAGAGAAAACGGAGAAATCCGTTATCAGGTAGAGGTGTTTCCAGCAAGTTACAGTCTGGCCTGACAGCTGTTAATATTGCTAGGCTAATTTGTTTAATTTTGATGAATGTGCAGCTTTCTTATTTTTACTGTTTGCATCCTAGAACTGCAGAGGATTTGGAGCCAAGGCTGTCTGTATTTCTAATGCACTTAGACACTCTTAATGCTCAACAGAATTCTGTAGGTTTCCACTGTTTATTTTGTAGTAGATATTGATGTATCAGTACAATAATACAGTCACAAATGTCTTTGTCCTGGACCAGCCTTGGAAGATATATCAGTGTCAGTGTTGCTTATGGGTATGATGCCACTAAGCACGGTAAGCCCGAGTTGAACTGGCAGAAGCTGTAGATGTGTATGTAGTTGTATGCATGTAACTGTACGAGATGTGCTTACTCCTTTCATACAAAAGGTTAATCATACAGTTCAAAGACCCTTTATGCAGTTACAGTAGTATCTTTTACAGTGGGTATGATGCTATGATTATATTAAGTTGTTCCCTAAGATATTATTGATTGAAATCTTTTGATTTAGGAATAACTGGAGGGGTGTAACTTGGATATAGAAACGACTACCAGAAGTTCAACAGAGGTTCTTAAGATTTGGAACACTAGCCTTTTTTTAAATGTTTGTGTCCTTTTCAGCGCTGGCAGAGCTGAGCTGATCATAGCATCAGAACTGTGCCTGCATCAGCATTTTGGCTGTTGGTGTTACTTGAAATCTCTCAGAATGACTCTTGTGCTGTGCCTTCTGCTATAACTCACAGAGTTGAATGGGTGGTAACAGGAAAACTTAGGAGAGCAATGAAAGTATAGTGAAGACTAGTTACAGATTTAAAGAATGAACGTAAGAAAGGAAATTGTGGGATTTGTGTCAGTCATAAGATATACTGACTGTAAACAATAAAAACTTTAAAGGTTCTGTAAGTCTGGTTCCCTTAGGAGGCATATCATGAACTCAGAGGCAATATATCTATATATTAAACAGCATGGTCAAGGTTGTTTGATCTTGATATGAACTTGTTTTGACTTGATGTCTGTTCTGAAAGACATTCTTAATAAAAGACATTCTGAAAGACATTCTTAATAAAAACCTGTAAAAACTGATGTATGCATCTGTGGTGGTAGGGAAGTCCTGTGAGTCCCATGCTAGTAAAGCATTAAGTGACTTTAAGTGGCTACACCTTTATGCTTATTCATGATTTTTTGATGATGATCACTTGTTTGGTACTATTTAGTGTTAGTAGCTCCTGTGATCATTTCAGAACTGAACTTCTAATGCAGCATTCTCAGGTATTTTAATTATTTTTAAAAGTTCTTTATTAAATTACATTGCTAAGGTATTTAATGAAATTCCAAGAGCCTGTAAGACACGTTTCTTAATCCAGTAAAATTTATCTGGTGCAAATTACTTTCTTTGAACAGAAAAATTATCTAGTGGACAACATAGTTGTTTTGATCCTTGATAGAAAATCCAACTGCTGTTTTATCAAAGTATTGTGAGAAAAAGGAAATGCAGAGATATCTCATTCATTTGCATGACTTTCTGTGATCAAATTAAATCTTAATTACAATCCCTTGTATTTGAAGCTGGAGAGGAGCAGTGATAGAACCTGACCAAAGCACTGAACCTCCATCTAGTAAAATAAAGGAACCAGAAAAACCTTTATCTGTGGAAGCTGAAGACCAGAAGGAACCAGGTAAATAGTACAGTTAATTATACCTTTATTTCTGTTCACTTTTATGGCTGAAGTTGTGCAATTCCTCCCCATGCATCTATTTATTTATCTATTTTAATTAAGGAAAACAGAAAGTGTAGGAAAGATTATTTACCTAGAACATCCAAGCCTTTCAGTGTCCTTATTCCACCATGACAGCCTTCATGCTTATTAGCCTTCAGAATTTGCAAATAAATTTTAGTGACAAATTTTTGAAATAGAGCCTCTGGGAGAAAGTAGACATTCCCATCCTTTCTCCAGGAAGGGACAGCCTAAAGAGAGAGGGCTTGGAAGGGACAGTTTCCTTTTTCAGCTGTGGTTTTCCTTTTGTTCTGCAAATACAGGGAAAGTAACTTCCTCCCTGAACTAAAATGAACTATTTTTAAGTCTCAACAGAATGTTGGAGAAGTTGTTTTTGCAGTTGCTGTCCTTGTGGAGTAAAGAACTTGTTGTTCTGCTTTCAGGGCTCATATGAGGAAGTTCTGATATGATAAACATGGCACATTACAGTGTGGTGTATTTGGCTTGTTCTGGCTTAATATACAGGGGTTACTTATGCTGCTTGGTGTTTCACACTCTAGAAATCTTTGTTTATAATTTTGAAAAAATTCAGCTAATGGGCTTGAAATTTTTGGTGTTGGATGTATAACATAAACTCAATTTTATGGCAAATTGAGAGCAAAAATTTCAGTAGAACCGTGGAAAAAGGTAGGACTTTGCCCAGAATGGAATAATGTATATTTTCTTCCTTTTTTGTGTTAAATGAAAAGTTCAAGAGAAATTATTTTTTATAACTGATTTTAAATTTAGCAGATGGCAATGAATAAGACAGGGAGGAAAAAATGGTATGTGGTAAGTTAGCTGAGGGTGGAATTGTTAAGCATATGTATTCAGCGGCAGAATTAGAGTTGATATAAGCAATCAACTGTTTACTGACTTTCAGGTCTTTGAGCTTTAGTGATACTCGTGTAATAGTCGTGCATGGGATTATTTTAACATTTTATTTGCCAAAGTGACTTTTTTTTTTTTTTGCCAGGGAGAGATCTCTATTTCCATCTGGCTGAATTGCTGACCAGAAACATTGACTGGTTATTCCACAGAGGAAAGGCTGTACTGAAAAGAAAAATCTAAGGATGTTTTTTCCATTACACTGATTGTTTAGCTCAGAAGAAAGTTTATTTTGTGTAGAATGCAGCAAAATGGTGTTTGGTATAGCTGCATAACTCCCCTGCAGAAGTCTTGAGCAAGGTGCCATTTCCTTTTGCAGTGCCCGTAACCGAGCGGCAGGTGGCTGTGATAGAAGCGTTCCGCCACGCCTGGAAAGGGTACAAGGATTTTGCCTGGGGCCATGATGAGCTGAAGCCCTTGTCCAAGTCCTACAGCGAGTGGTTTGGACTTGGGCTTACCTTAATTGACGCCTTGGATACCATGTGGATTTTAGGCCTAAAAGAAGGTAATTTTTTTTCCTCCTCCATTTTTTCCCCTCTAAAATAATTTCCTTATTTTCTGTTCAGGCAGTACACGTTAAGAGTTCAATGGCAGGTACATTTACTACGTGTGGTCAATAACTTTTGTTTACCTGTGAGGGTAAATACATATATATATATATATATATATATATATACATATGAAAAAATATATATATATATGAATATATATAAATAAAAACAGTATGTATAGAAATAAATATAATAAAACCCCCAATTATATTAAATAATCATTTTTCTTGGAATAGAATTTTGAGCCAGAAAAAAATATTCCACTGTTACGTATAACAAAGGATATATCTGCTAGAAACTGAGGAAGGTGTTACTAAGCTTTCTGATTTTTGTTTCTGTACTAAAACTCTAGTGCTATCTGTGTACCATGATACAGCCACTGTAGGCTTTCTGCCTGTCAGTCTGTAAGCTTATTTGTGTTTTATCACACCTAATATCAGTATTTCATACCTGGATTTAAGAAAGTTGTTTCTGTAAGGAATCAATAGATGGAGAAGGGGAGTGTTCAATACCTCCTCCCTGAACTGCTCTGATATCTGTATTTTTTCAGTTATTCTTGAGGTGATTAGGTTAGAAAACTTTCAAACAGATTTTAAAAACTAAGCCAAAAATTGTGCAATTCTGTTGCAAAAAACTTGCTTACTCAGTACTTAGGGGTTTTTTTTGTTGTTGTTTTGGGTTTTTTTTGTTGTGGAGTGTTTTTCTTTGTGGTATTTAAAAATTCTTGGAGCTGTATCTATTTAACCTTTGTAGATAGCTACCTTTGTAGACTTCTATCCATCATGCATTTTTTTTAGTGTCAGGATAGGAGGAACAGAGGTGCTAGTAAGGGGACAATAAACAGTCAAAGTCTCTTATGATTTTGTCTGTTTCACCTTTGAAGTTTGTGTAAAATATTCAATGAAATAAAAACTCTATATCATGTCTGCAGCTCTAGGCCTGAGCAGTGAATCTTTCAAAAAGTTGACAGTGTGCTGCTTTTTTTTTTTCCTAAAAAATTAATTGTGAACTGCATAGAGCTTTTAAAGTAAGCTATTAGTAATTTAGATGTGTTGGAAATGGGTTCTTGGTGAAGTCTTCTTCATATTTTAAAGCACTTCTTTTGCTGATTGCCTTAGAAAGCTCCTGTTTTTTTTTTTTCTGAATAACAAATGCTATCTAAATTAAAGTTCTGTTTGAGGTTGCCAGTCTTTCTTGCAAGCTGATCAGTGCTAATGCTTCTGTGAAAGAGGACTTTACCTTTTCTGTTGTACTGCTGCATAGTGCTAACATCTGACAGTGGAGATTTTTCTGTGGTTCTCAGTCTACCCAACATCCAGTATTTACCCGATACCCAAACCATTTTTTTCTCATGAGGACATAGAGGCATCCTTTTGCTTTAGAGTTAATCTTCTGTGGAATATCTTCCATTTCTGGGAAACTGATTGTTCTGCACCTGCTCACCTTCCTGGAAGGTGTGATAGTTCAAGATTACAAAAAGGACATAGAGTTACTCGAATATGTCCAGAAAAGGGCTACAAAGTTGGTCAAAGTTGGTCTGGAACACGTCCTGTGAGGAGCAGCTGAGGGAACTGGGGATGTTTAGTCTGGAGAAGGAGAGGGTGATAAGGTCTCCCCTCAGCCTCCTCAACTACCTGAAAGGAAGCTGCAGAGAGCTGGGTTTGAGCCTCTTTAGCCTAGTAGAAAGCGACAGGACAAGAGGGAATTGGCCTCAAGTTGCGCCAGGGAAAGTTCAGACTAGATATTAGGAAGCATTTCTTTCCAGAACGGGTTGTTGGGAGTCCCCATCCCTGGAGGTGTTCAAGAGTAGGGTTGATTCGGAGCTTAAGGATATGCTGTAGGTTGGAACTGTGCTAGGAGAATGGTTGGACTAGATGATCTCCAGGGTCCTTTCCAACCTAGAGGATTCTGTGATTCTGTGAAGATTAGTTTAGACTTTATAGCTAAAGGCATGAGCTAACTCACATCCACCATGGAGTTAGACCCTGTGCAAAAACAGTCATTGAGTGAGACTGCTGATAAGATGACTTTTGAATCTAAAATGTTTTTTTACATTCCTTTTTGAAGTACTAGAGTGATAAACAACCATTTTTGTTTCTGGACAAAAAATGGCAGACTGCTGGGATTTTAGGGTTAGGTGCTGAAGTAGGAGGCAGGCTCCCCAGGACATTGCTAGACTAGATGTATTAACTGAAAATGTTATTGTTAAAATGTTATCTGTTATGGTAGATAACAGCTTTGGTTTAAATAGGTTTCATGATAAAGTTCAGAAAGCTCTTGTGGAAGTGTAACTAATTGTCTGACAAGTCAAATGGATGGACTTAAAAGATCTCAATATCTGGACAATTTTAATAAAGAATTCCCTCAATTTCTATTTTTAGACTATTAGAAACTTTGTATTTTGCTGGGTATTTTTGTCTGTATGCATCTGTGGTGTCTGTTGAATAAGAATTAAGCCAATGATAGTCAAACTTTTCCTACCATGTGCTCTATTTTAGTTTTCCACCTAAAATTGTGATCCCTTTAGAGAGATACAAGTAACTGTCATGGATATATGGAGTATTAATGTCTCTAGTCTGTTTGAAACATGCCAGAAGTTCATGACTGGACTACCTTTTATGCTTTGCAGAGTTTGAAGAAGCAAGAAAATGGGTAGCAAACGATTTAGTATTTGATAAAAATGTGGATGTAAACCTCTTTGAGAGCACTATTCGTATCCTGGGGGGCTTGCTGAGCACCTACCATCTCTCTGGAGATAGCCTCTTCCTGGAAAAAGCTGTGAGTGACTAGTCTTAGAAATGAAACTAGATTATGTATTCTGTATTGGACGTAGTTAAGGGAAGATTCATCAGAAAGTTAAATGTTGCTGTTTTTTTAAGTTGCATATTTAAAGTGGTGGGAAAGGTTTTTATCATTAATCTTTTAAGCCTGCACTTCTTTTTGCTTTCTGGATAACCTCAGAACCTTGCTGTGTTTTGTCAGGCATTCTTATATGCCTGTTTTTCTGTTGATTAAGAGCTGACCATAATAAAATTCTTGCAACAAAAGTAGAAATAAATGGTTAGCAGAGAGTAATAGTTGTCATTTGTTGCCCTTTCTGTGTGTTTTAACAGCATCAGCCAGCTATTTAGATTAGCTAGATTCAGTCAATGACTTCAGAATTGCATCACATTGCATAGAGGTTGCAGACTCCAATGAGGCTTGCAATACTAGGAACAAGGTAGAAATTCTTTACTCTTACTTTAGTAATTACTAAATGTAGTAATTACATAGTCATTACTGTGAATAAATCCATGACTCTTTTTAATTCTTGGCTTTCTTGCACCATCTATACCAAGCTGCTACTCTTTCTTCTTGTGTCTGCTTGGTGAAAGAAAATCTCAAGGGGGGGTCTGTGTGTATATATTTATTTTTTGTTTTCTTTGTTGTTTTGTCCTGTGCTCTTGGATTTTCTTTAGAAAGACATCGGGAACAGGCTTATGCCAGCATTCAAGACCCCCTCCAAGATACCATATTCTGATGTCAACATTGGCCGTGGCACTGCACATCCACCTCGCTGGACATCCGACAGCACTGTGGCAGAGGTGACCAGTATTCAGCTCGAGTTTAGGGAGCTCTCTCGTCTCACTGGAGATGAGAAATTCCAGGTATGGAAGAATCAGTCACTGTTTTTCTCTTTTTCCACCTCTCTACAGCTCCACCACTGACTCTTTTGTCAATACATGTGGTCTCTGTAGTCTCTAAGTGACACTAAATGAGTTCTGAAACTCTAGATGAGGGAAGAAAAAGAGACAATTCCAATTATTTTTTTAAGTACCAAAAAGTCAATAAATATTTTTTCTCAGAAACAGCTTTTGATTTTAAAAAAAAACAACCAAGCAACAGCAAAACCAAACCACAACAAAAACCAAACACCACTGTCCCTCCACTGCCCCCCTCCAAGTTTTTGTTATTGACATTTTTGTTTGACACTAGGTTGTCAGATTTTGAAAAAATACTAAACTAAACCGAGGACTATGAAACTGTGCCTTGCTTAATGTTGTTAGAATTCTATGTGAGGTTTCTTGATGACACTATCTAAATGCAAAGAACAAAACCTTGGTGTTGCCATGCAAGGAACTAAAATGTGATTCACTGACAGGAGGTCACAGTATAAGGAAGTTAGTTGAAATAAAAATACTTAGAGGAGAATATTTTCCAGTCTTTTTGTTTGGTGACGTTTTGTTGTTTTAAACTGTATCCACAGCTCAATTTTTGTGCAGTTATATAAAGAAGTTTAAGCTATTGCATGATTCACGGAGTTGTTATTTTAGCTGGACTTCTTGCAGATATGATCATAGTCCAGTGCAATACTGGTTTTCAAGTGGGCTTATTTGAAGGAAAGGAAATAGTTACTGTTATGTCACAGTACTTAAATGTACCTAGTGCATCATGTTTTGAGAGTCAGAAAGTTTGACATCCTGTATTTAGTATATTACATGAGCTGAACTTGATATCCCTGATGCTAATTTAAGGAAGAATAATTAAAGATTTGTATCAGCCTGAAGTTATTAGCTCCATTTTTTTTGCATCATTTATACTTGTAATTTATGTTTACTATTTTCTTTCACTCAGAAAGCTGTAGATGAGGTGATGAAGCATGTTCATACCCTCTCAGGGAAAAATGATGGACTAGTGCCTATGTTCATAAACACCAATAGCGGACAGTTCACTCACCTGGGTGTCTACACTCTGGGAGCCAGAGCTGACAGCTACTATGAGTATTTGCTGAAGCAATGGATTCAGGGTGGAAAAAAAGAAAATGAGTAAGTTCTTTCCACTTCTCATGTCAGTGTGAGAATTACATGAACTGTAAAACTTTCTGTTGTAGTTTGCTGCTTTAAAGAAAAATAATGTATGTTCCCAAGAGTTGACTGAAAATATCACTGACTTTAAAAGCAAGCTAAGCAAGGAAGAGGGACCTATGGTAACTTTGATGTAAAAACAGCATGAAAGTTAGCCTTAGTCTCAAAACCTCTCCTCCTCAGAAAGATTTTAATCCTCAGCACATCAAATGTGAGAGTGTTGCAGACAGGAAAGGAGAATTAAGTCTGCAGTAGATATGGAGCATAATTAGATACTTCTGAAATACTGATGATACTTCATTTCACCAGCAATGTCTGTGTTTTCTCTGGGTTTGTTAGGGCAAGGTGAATCCTACAAGATGGTTGAAGTGGGAGATTTAATCCATAAGGAATAATTTTTCTTAGAAAGGAGACTGAAGTTTGATATTTGTGTAAAATTTCGCTTTGGGTCTCTTAGTTTCTCTTACCTGCACTGGGTAAGTGTAAGAGAATGTTTGCAAGGAGCAGAGGAATTGGAAAAGAAGGTTTCCTCCAAAAAAAGACAAAAAGTCCAAGCACTTTTTTGTCTATGAGCTAATTATGTTGGACTTGTTCATGTCAAGAGATTTAATGCTTCTCTGAGACATTTCTTTATATCAGAATGGGTGCATCTCTACAAAGAAAGTTTGTGTCACTGCTTTTTCCAAGCCACACTTCACTGTAAATGGAGACTGTGGTCTTTGGGACCATGAATGATGGAATTTAGTGAACCTCAAATAAAATTATTCAGCAATTTTTCCACATAAAAGTAGTTTGAAACAAGGGAAATTCCAGTTAAATACTGTGAAACAATGCTTCACAGTGAGAGTGGTCAAACATTGGAAAAGACTGCTCAAGGTCACCGAGGGTGATGCTTCATTAAAGGTCATACTACTACATTTTTGGATGGAGATGGTTAAAAAAATTGCTTGGGTACGCCCTCAGGCAACCTGATCTAATTGAATCTTACCAGCCTAGGTTTCTGTGGTTTCGGTTACTGTAATTCTAAGGATTGCTGAAATAAAATCTGGTTACTGCCTAGAAACAGTGGGGAGTATGTCTTCTTTAATACTTAAATTACTTGAATTTAATACTTAAATTACTTGAAATAGTAGCAATAACTACTTAATGTCCAGTTGAGGGTTTTTTTGTCAGTTTTGGTTAAATTTTGGTTAATATTGTTCTCCATTAAATTTGGTTAAATATTGTTCTTTAGACTGAAATAAGAGTCTCCAAAAGGATTGTGCTGAACATCGGCTATGATTAAATGTGTTCTGACTGTGCATACGTGAACCAACTGGGATTGATTTTAATTCACAGACTGTTGGAGGACTATATGAGAGCCATAGAAGGAGTGAAAAAGCATCTTCTTCAGCGATCACAACCCAAGAAGCTTACTTTTGTAGGAGAGCTTGCTCATGGCCATTTCAGTGCCAAGATGGTAAGAAGTACAACTGCATTTAAAAAAGCAACAAAAGAAAACAGAAAAACCACCACCACCACCAAAAAAAAGAAAAATCAATATATGGATAGGCAAATGCAGAGCTTCTGTATTGTCTTTCCCCCTTCCTTCCTCCAAAGAAAAAAACCCAACCCAAGCAACCAAGAAAAAGGAAAAACCCCCCAAACAAACAAAAACCCAAGAAAAAAAAAATATATATAGGCAGTATGATGGCAGTACTAACTACTTTGTCGATACCAGCCACCTGTGTAAACCAGCAGCCTTCTCTGAGTTATTCTGGTAAATTCATTTATGTTCCTGTGAGACAGAACATTTTGGTGCTGGAGTCAAATTTTCTTCTGTTTTGGTCATAAAATTCCAGTGTCTGAAACTGTTGAAGCAGTGCATATTTTATGTATTATTTATATTCCATAATTCAAAAATATATGTGGACACTTGCACACCTGGCTTTTCAAACCTTCAAACAAGCAGGTGATCTAATACTGTGTTACTGTGTCAAAAAAAAAAAAAAGTCTGATAATTTTGGAGGGTTCTGTCCATTCATGACATCTGTTTCTTTTCCTACATGTAGGGTTATTGAGTAAAACAGTATGCTGTTTGCTGTAGAGAAAATTGATTGATCTTAACTCCCTGTTCTTAATCTGTGCATCCATACTCTTTAAGACATTTTAAAATCTCAGTTAAAGATCTCATGCAAGTGCAAATATTGTATGAGTGTGTGGCTTTTTTTAAAGATGAATGTTGTGTTATTAATGTATGTGTAGCCTCACGCATACTTTTTCAATACCTGAAGTGAGATTAAGTGAATTCTTTGACTTGTTTGGTTTTTTGATGTAGGTGTTCAGTTCTGGTTTTCAGTATGTGCTTCTTCCATCTGAATTTCATAAAGGCTCTCCAAACCTGCTGTGAGCAAGACTGGATTGGTAGAGGGAGCTCCCCCATCCCAAGATATGACAGAATTGAATTCAGACAGATGGATTTGGCTTAGGTTTCTGCATGTATTGGTACACTTGCTTCAGTTCCAGGGAGTCACAGTTTGGTTATTTAATCAATTATTATTGAGTGAAAGGCCTGACAGCTATCTTACCCTGGCCAAGTGGAAAAGTGGAGGATGTTTGTACCCTGTGTCTGGTTGACCTTCACCACCCTCAACCGTTTCCTTTAGGACTGGACAAAGCTCTTAAAGGTCCATACAGGTGCTGCTTGTGCACCAGAGTGTTTTTACCATGTTTTGGGGTGATGAGACCTGAGCTTTCATACTGAATGGAATGGTAAGAATCATTTGAAATTACATATGTGACTTTAATCTGCAACTCTTACATTCACAGTACCATTGGTGAATTAGCCCCTGAAGGACAATCAGTCTTGTACTGCAAATTGAATTTTGCTGGAGATGAGTTTTGGGCATTTTATACAATCTGGTTTCTGTTTCAACTGACTTCAACTGAGCTTTCTTGGAAAGTTAACTAAATTAATCTTGATTGCTTACAAATGTGTCACAGTTCTTGATGTAATACCACTCCTGTTGTCCTTTGAAGAAATTGTTTGCTGTAGCAAGTAAAAGCTAAGGAAGAAGTGTCCCTATGGTGCTTTCATTTCTGCTGCTTTGTCTTGGGAGAGCAAGCAGGAATGCTCTTTATAAGGTCATCCTCAGATGCCCCTCTTCCATACATACACAGTGAGCCAGAGATGTTTTGTTCAAGATGCCTGTATCTGTGGCATTCAGCTGGCTGTAAACAAGAGAGTAAGTCTAGGAGAGCTAGTGGTGGGAATGGGAGCCTAGTGTATCCCAGTCTTCAGAAGAATGGTGCGCTTGCATCTTTGGTGTTCTGTAGAGGGTTAATAGCTTTTTACTACCCCAAATAACAAAGTTGCAAGAAAGGGGCAAGCTTTCATGCAGAAATATTCTTGAAAGCTTATCAGTGGATCTAATGATCTCTGCAGATGTTGTGTCTCTTAAATAACACCAAGATTATTTCAGAAAAATGAAATTCAGATGATCAGTGTCTCTTATGTTGTCCCTTTGGGTGTGTTTATTGAGAAACCTTTAGGTGATCCTGTTCACCACACTCCATAGGTTGGTATGAAATGAATACTTCTGGTAAACCGAAAGGCACTCTCTTCCCCCTTGCACTGACCTCAGACCTCTTTTTCAGAAATCTGACATACAAACAGAGTCTTGTGAATTTTCCAAATTAGTGATGTCTCTGGAGTGTTGCCTACCTCATGGTACATTACGTCAAATGTAAGAAGTTATGCTTGAGTTCTTGGTACCTGAAATGTGTTTTGAAGAAGAGAAGGAATGGGAAAAAAGTGAGATACACACATAGGACAGAGAGAGGCACGCATATTCACACAAATACCTGTTTATTGTGTAATTTTGTCTAGAGTAAGAGTTGTCTTGTCTTGCAGGATCACTTGGTTTGCTTTTTGCCTGGTACTCTGGCACTGGGAGCTCACAATGGATTGACTGCTGATCATATGAAATTGGCTGAAGCCCTTATAGAAACCTGTTACCAAATGTACGCTCAAGTAGAGACAGGCCTGAGTCCAGAGATCGTACACTTCAATCTTCATGCACAGAAGGGCCACAAAGATGTGGAAATCAAGGTGAACAGATAGTTGGTCTGAACTGTAATTTGATGATTCTTCTGTATCTTTGTTCTGCTGTTGAAACTCCTAGCTGGCTATTGGTGATGTGCTCTGTTGTGAAGCAGCTGCTTCTTTTGCTGCCTTCCTTTCTACTGTACTCTAGCCTTTGGTTTTAATTACCCCTGTAGTGTATTTAGAAGCTGAGTTGTGCATAATAAACTCTCCGGAGTAGGTAGAGATGGGAATCACTATTTTTTTTCTTTCTGTCTGTGTCCTTGAGAAAATTCCCTGTCTGAATTATTCTTGCCTTTTTTATCTCTTGCAGCCTGCAGACAGGCACAACTTACTGCGACCAGAAACTGTGGAAAGCCTTTTTTATATGTACAGATTCACTGGTGATAAGAAATACCAAGATTGGGGCTGGGAAATATTGCAGAACTTCAATAAATACACACGGGTAAGATCAGCTTATAATGACCTTGTTCTGTCAGCACTGTATTTGTTCACTTGCTCTCTAACTTTGGAACTTTGGAAACCTACTGTGTTTCAAGAGTCATCAAATGCATGTGGGGAAATTCATAAGAACACACTGAAAAATTCAGTTCAAGCCTTACAGTTTGAGATTATACTACTTGGTACATTCAGGGAAAGATCTGGTATTACATTGCTTAAAATGTAAAATGCAGAGGCTGCATGCAGACTGCCAAAGTGCCCTTATGTCTTCTTGGAAGCTGTTGGAATCTCTACTGTGATCTTCTTTAGAATTCAGAAGCTGAGAAGTACCTGACTGGATTGAAAGAACCCTTTGGTTGAAGTTGCCAAAAAAAATTTGCCACAAAATAGCATTAGTGCTTTAATAGAGAGTTTTTAATATTCATTCTGACTACAGTGCTTATGAAGATACCACTCTGATATGCTTTAAAAGTGGGGCCTAGATTGCAGTGGCCATTCAGTATCTATTGTCTGTTCTTTAGAGAATACGTATAGTAATTTGACGAATTCTAATGTAGAAATTGCACTAGTTACTTTCTGTACTTCTGTCCAGAAACTTCAAGGGGATGTTCTTTGTGATACCTATTTAAATTAAGCATAAATGGACATTCTGATTCATTTTATCAGTGTAGTTTCTTTTAAAGTGCAATTAGAGTTTTTTCATAACTGAAGTTTTACATGTAAATGAAAACTAAGTCTGAAATTAAAAACATGCTGATTTGTTTCATAGCACTTATTTTCCCCAAGTGCATCTGGATGTTAAGAAATGAAAATAATTGATTTTTAGATTATCAAAATGTACAAAATCTCTTCCTTTCTTTTGGCACAGGTTCCTACAGGTGGTTATACTTCCATTAACAATGTCCAGAATCCCAGCAATCCAGAGCCACGAGATAAGATGGAGAGCTTCTTCCTTGGGGAAACACTCAAATATATGTTTCTGCTGTTTTCAGATGACATAGACTTAATCAACCTTGACAAATACGTATTTAACACAGAAGCTCATCCACTCCCTATCTGGGTGCCAACATAGACTGGGTGTCAGTAGACCTTCCAATGGTGGCATTTTTATCTTCAAGTCACTTTACTTTTCACGTTTTGAGGAGAGATGCTATATTGCACCTTTTTTGACTTAAACAAACAAAACCTTTGGGAAAGCTTTTCTGATTTGGAGAAGTTATGTCAGTCTTAAATCTAATCCCTGGTTCTGGGATGGACAAGCTGTTTTTCCTGGTATTGATGATACGGTTCAGAGAATAATTGTAGTGCGGACCATGACATTCACAGGGCTCTGGTGAATGAGAACTCACGTATGTCAGTCTTACTAAATGCTCGTTAAATATCAGGAGTGCAGCAAGTTGTCTTACAGCACAGGATTGTCCCTGGAGAGAAGGAATAAGCCTACAGGTTTCTGGTTTATTCTGGATTCACTGAAACACTTGGTTACAGCGCCATTCCTTCCTCAGAACATGTTTCAGGTTTAAGAAGAGTGTTTCAGGTGGTAAGTGGAATAAACAAAGAACTGTAATGTTCCAGGTAGAAGCAAAGCTGTCAGTATTGCTACTGATACTCTGATCTCATTCCAAACTACCGAGCTATGCTGCATCACATCAGAAGAAGGAGGTAGCAGCAAAGCATCTATTGTGCAGTGTCTTAGTTTTATAGAGCACTTTGAACAATCTGTCCAGGCTGTGGCTAAAATGAATGATGGAAGAGAATTTGCTGCTGCTTTGGCTCAGAAGTGGTATATAATTTTGTAGAGGTATTGCAGTTTTTGTAACTTATCTGCAGGAATGCAGGAGATAATGTGAAACGCAAGTGAAACTACATGTGCATTTTATATATTATTTGCATCAGTTAGACTCAGGTATTCTGACTGAAAGCTGCTTTCTGAGGTTGGGCACTGGGAAAGTTTGTGAGCACATTAGATATAATTCTAAGTTAGCCTTCTTCCGTCCCTTCCTGTCCAGATACTGCATTGTTGACTCAAAACAAGCAATTGTACAGCAAAATTAATGTCATTCATAATTTTTTTCACTGTGGAGAAATTACTTTGGGTAGAAGCATTTTCATTGGTAGCATTAAAAGCAGGCAGTCTAAATGTATTACAACAGTTCCTGGTCCCAGTAGAATTAGTGAAATCTATTCAGTCGCTTGAAGACAGAGCAGACCAAGGTTTTTTTTAAGAATTGTATGGGAGCCCTGGGATCTTTCTTTTTTTGTATGTGCAAATAGATTTTTAAACCATAAATTTGGAAATCAGCTTTCTATATTGCTTTTCTTTTTGGTTTTATAGCTACTTGGACAGTCCTGTATTCACAGATAAGTTCTCAGAAATGTGCTTGTTCATATTTCTTAAAGAGGTTGTTCTTACCAAAATGTCCTTTCCCCTCACAGTAATGGGAGTGGTGGGAAGTATGCAGGTGCGTGGTAGCAACAGTGAGGTACAGTCCACTCTAAATTTAAGGCTGCTAAGTGGAATTAAATAAATCTGACTGTAATGGTTAATTTTCCAGTGGCTGGGGGGTGTGTGTGTGTGTGTATGTGTATTTTATAGTATTTGTAACCTTTGATTTGTAAAGTAAGATGCGTCTTTATTTGGTTTATGCTGATCAATTCTGTTTGCTGGAGTCAGAAGTTACCCTTGGGACCACATTTATCATTCCATATGTTAATGATGGCTTATGGAAATGGAGAAATTTTACAAATTACTTAAACGCACCTTTCTCTGTCATCAGAGGGACCCTTGGATTTGCAAGACATGACCAGTTTGTGCAGAATTATAATGTTCCTTCAGTTCACATGCCACCAGTAACCCTGGAAAGGAGTTTCTCGCTTATGTGTGCAGTGGAATCCAGTAGCTGTAGCCTTTTTCTGCACAACTGATTTGCTCCTAAGACTTTTGTTTTCTTTGACATAACAGCGAAGAAGGAAAATGCTGTTGAAATGTGGGAGGAAACACCTTAATTGTTTTTGTATGTGGAGCCAGGTTTGTGTTTCTGAGGAGCTGAGCTCTGGCTAAAAGCCAAAGGCTTAAAACTGGAGATTAAAAAGAGAAAAAAAATCAGTGAGGCTACCCAGGCTCTACTGACTTGTGTTTCTTTGGCCTTGTGCCTTCAGTTGAAGGTAGCATTGAACCCTTAATGAACTTTGCTATGGACTATAAAGCTTCCAGAGTTGGGCATTTCACCTGTACAGCAGCCCTACTGAGGAAACAAAGAGATTTCTTAGAAAGTGGAATACATATAAATGCTCACCAAAAATCTGTCTTATACTAATCTTAATGCAATCAGCTTTACCAGTGGGACTGTGGGAGTTTGTGTTATAATTTTTTTGCCTTATAGTTGGCTTGAGAGTAATCATCCATTTCATAATGAGTAAAAGGAAGGAGCGAAGAATAAATTGTCACTGTCCCAAACACACTTTTTTAGCTGAGCCTGTTGGTCTAACTGATTTCTTTTCTACCTAATTCTTCCTGGGAAACTGAATCTCTTTGCAAAGTTTGGCTTTACTGTCCTCATCCTTTAAATCTGAAGTTAAGATTTTTCATCTCTCTCTACCTTTGAGAACAAATGCTTGTTTCAGACTCCTGTATCACATGTGAAATGGTACAAACCTAAATCTGATGAAAGGTCATCTGCTTCTTCCTGTTCTTTTGCAAAGGTCACTTTAATTGCTTATTTATTTTTACTTCCTTAACAATGTCAGAGTAGTCTCTTGAGCTTTACAGCCCATCTCAGTTCCACCGTGTTCACACACACTCCCTCCTCAGCCCCAGCACAACAGAAACTTAGAAGCTTTGCATGTAGTTGAAAAGTTTTCTTTCGAGTTCTCTGTTCTTTGAATCAAAGCCTTAATTGCAGGGTCTGTAATCCATTTTGGTGTTTATGCTTTGGATGCTTAAGTCAGATGTTGCAGAAAGGCCATCTCTTCAGCCAGTGATTCTGTCCTTTTGCACAAAGTCCTGCCTTGGTTTCTCCCCAAGAGCTTGAATGCCTGGCCTAATGAAAATAAACAAAAAACCAAACCAGGTGCACCTAGCTATGCTGTTCCCTTATGCTTTCATTGAGAAACAGAAATGGGTATGGGCAGAGCCATGGAGTGTTGCACAGCTGTAGGACTTGGAACTCTAACACTCTGGGCTTTAAGCCACAGCTCAAAAAAATACATACTTGTTTGCTCAAAGAAAATTGAATAGATGGATGGGACCACAGTTGGCATCTAATCTCTGAACTTTTTGAGAACTGAAGTCTCACTACAGATCTTAGAAAGCTGGTAGTTTTGCAATGTCCATGGTATTGGCTGATGGAGGGGGGACACCTTCTGTGTTTCACACAGCTTTCCATTAACAGGATTTTCACCATTACATGCCACGCTCGGATAGAGCTGTATTTACCCCTCCAAAGACTAGGCAAAGAATTCACTGTTTCCTATTCTCTATCAGTGTGACATTGCAGTGGTGAGGGATGCATACAGGATAGGTTTTTGCAATGAACGTGTTTACACAATTTTGTGAATTTATCTTGTCCTTTAAAGACCATTTCATTTCAGCTGTGCGTTCCTACAGGCAGTTCAGCTCCTGATTTCCAATGCCACACTCAGTATGTGTCATAAGACCAGTAAAACTGACAAGTCAGGAGAGCTCCATGATGCTGTCTAGCAAGCTTGTTGCTTCAACAGAAGGGTTAAGTTTCCTGACTTTGGATTTGGGAAGAATGGTTTGGGTTTTTTTGTCTCTGAAGTATTGCTAGAATTTATTGTCAAAGTCTGGAGGTCTCAGCTTCCACAAAAAAAACAACCATAAGTTCTTCAGAAATGGATGACTTGTAGCTTGCCAGGAGAACCTGCTGCTTTGCATGATCAGTTTGCAAGCTCTGACTTAAAGGTTTGTGACCAGAGACACACTTACACTGTTTTGTGACATGCTCCCATCGTGGTCACACTCCTCATGCTGTTATGTGATGATAGAGTGAATAAGCCTCTTCTCAACCACCCCACTGGTGCAGGTCTTAAACCAGCATGGGGACTCCATCTGTGTATGGTTCTCTGGGTCACTTACTCTCTGCCTGCACTCCCTTTTCCTTCTGTGTTCCCTGAAGCTCAGCCACAAGCAGCGTTCCTGCAGAGCAGTGACTATTGGGCTGGGCTCTTCCCTTCAGTTCAGAGGACCACACAACCAGGGTTTTCTGCTTGGGTCCCATTCTTCCTTGTCCAAGGCTTGAAAATATCATGGACATTTGTGGCACTGGCTTCAGACTTCTGCCACAGTTTCTGAAGCCTGTTTTTTAAATGATTTTTAGCATTGGTCATCTGCATGAACGTCCATTTATATCTTGTTTATCCCTTTGCCACAGTATCTGAAAACCTTTAGTTCATCTTTCCATATAAATCAAACCATTTGTGTCCTTTGCACTATGTGGATTCCTTTGGGGAAAGTACTGTCAGCCAGCAGAAAATAAAAGATTGGTAGTCCATTATAAGAGGATTAAAGAACTCTCTCCTTCTGGAATGTCAAGACACCAGGGTCTCTGTTCACTCTAAGGCACAAAACAAGCCCCATGCAAAGATGTTAACTTGTAGATTCCTTTCCAAAAGACATTGTGGCTGCTTTAACACATTGCTGGGCTGATTGGGGTGCCTGTTTGCTGGGAGCTAAGGGTGCTGTTAGAAAGGTAATATAAACAAGATGTAATTAATCCTCTCTGCAGACACATCCACCATTGTCTTTTTTTAATATGGTGCTAGTCCTGAATAATTGCAGGGGTACAGCAAATTAAATTCAGGAAAGCCAGGGTGGTCCTGTGAGAAGAGCAGATTATAGCCTATCAGCAAGGCTGGAAGGAGCAGCCTTGTGTGAGCTGTATGGTTCAACTGGCAGCTCTTAGCAGAGGCCAAGAGGTTTCTGTCAGCCCAAACTGAGAAGATACAGGTCTTACTGAGGGTGTAGTTCCACTAGCAGTCTTGAAGGACTGGAGTTTGACTTATCAGGTCCTCCATACGTTGTCCTTCATTTATACATATCTGAGAGGTCTGGTAAATGGACTTCATCTGCTGTGGCTCTTCAGCGGGGGGTGTGGGTGTGGGGAGCGGAAGCTTTGGCCCTTTTGTACTTAAGAACAGGGAAGAGGTAAGGAAGTCATATGCAAAAAAACCCTTTTCTCAGCAGCTGAATATTGTGAAATAACATTAGTGAGTGACATCGTAGCTCTGGGAACCAATTGTACTGTGATGGCAGGGTGGGCCCAGCTGTGCAAACGCTCAACACAAAGCCTTGTGCTTGAGCAGTGTAACAAAAGCTGAAGCAGTGCTGTGACTTTGCCTGTATAAGTAATGTGAGTCTGTGACCCCGGGGGCTTCGCTAACTTGTAAAATCATTGTAAATGGACAGACTGAGGCATCCAGTTGATTACCAGGATTTAATATTTTTGCAATTACGCTAGTATTAATTGGTGCATAGTAATTCCAGTAGGTAAGAATCCACCTGTCTATGTGCAAAGATGAGTATACTCCACCTGGAAAGGTGAGAAGTATCCTTTTTTATCTTCTTTGGTTATACTACCAAGCCATGCAATTATATCACTTTAATAAACTTGTAATTTATTTAAAAAAGATCTGAAGATGTCTCAAGTGGAAGTGTGCTTTACTGGTCATCAATAGGCAGCCCTTCAGTGACAGCAGTACACACCAGGATTTCTTTGTGTAAATACCAGCTCACCAACTGGAGATCTCTTGTGCAAGTTAAAACCAAAACCAAACAAAAAACCAAACCCACAGTACTGGATGAGGCTGACATAACTGGTGACTAGTGGAGTCCCCTGTGAACTTGTGTAAGTAATGACCATACCTCTGCTTTTCCACTAGTCATCTAGTATTTACTTTTTGTCTAAAAATAATTTAGCTTCAACCTTCAGGTGCCTCCTGCAACCGTCTGTTCAGGACAGTGATGATTCTTGGGCCTTCAGGCCAGCTTTTATTATTTCTACCATTTACAATGCCTTCTCATGCTTTAGTCAGTGATTTGTCCTTTTGCTTTTGTTCTGATGCTTGATTAGGGGCAGGTGGGACACTCCAGAAAGGTGAATTTCCACAGTCAGGGCCGAGGAGATCACACTTCCCAAAGAGCAGAGGCCCAGCTCAGAGGCTGCTGTCTGTCTGTGTGCTGGTGGCAGCCTCCCACCCACCAGGGGCTGTGGGATGGGTGCAGTCACAACTGTCTGCCCGCGGGAGCTCCTGAGTGCTTCTGCCTTGCCCTCTCCATCTGTGCAGCTTTCACCCAGCTGTTGATGATGCTCGCTTCCAGCTTGCGCACCTCTGTGACGGACGGGGGGTCAGCGGGGTTGTGTCCTCTAGAGAAAGCAGAGCAGTGTGAGCTACTCAGTGGGCAGCAGCTCTCTGCCCCTTGCACAGGGAAAACCAAGCCAGGGAACTGAAGGACAAATTACCTGCTTTGTACCTCATATCTATCTCCTGGAAAACAAGTTCCAGTCTCACACCCACCAGGAGGTTGGGAGACAGGCTTGAGAGACTCGAGAGCTAGGCTTGAGAGACTCGAGAGCTGTCCCTTGCACTGGTGGCTGCTGCCCTCTCTGCTCTGGGCCTAAAGGCTGATGGCTAATGCCAAGAAACACTGGACTATGTGGGTACAGCTAGAGGCTGTCACACACTTGTGCCACTCACTGTGCAAGAACAGGTTCCAATGAAAATAGGTGAGCTTAGTGCCGAGTTCTGCACAGCCTGGCATCCCTGGATGCTGTACTGGGGAAGAAGGATGCTTTTTTACAGTTGTGCTGTGACAGTCTGGTGTCAGGCCTCTTCAGGTATCTCCTGGTTTGCTGGACTGTGGCTAGCTAAGATCAAACACCCATTGCAGCAGGATTTGGGCAGCCAAAGGAGGGTTCAGTACTTACCGGAGATCTAGGTGATGAGCCCCTCCTTTAACTGTCAGTGCAATTAGTGAAGGACTGAGGCTGCTGTTTATCTGGAAGGAGAAGCAGCAGAGACAAACTCTCACCAGGTCACCAAGCAGAACGATATCAGTTCTGAAAACTGGAAGACACGCTGGGAAGGACTAAGGAAAAGCACGGGAAGAGATCCTTGGTACAGCTGATGCTGTGTGCATGGCTAGGAGTCCTGATGAGCCAAACCATCTGTCTCAAATGAAGTGAAGGCTTCACCCAAGATGAAAACTGTCAGACAATTCTGGCACAGGCAGCCTGAAGTAACAGGCTCCTTTGGGCCCATGCACCCTAAGGAATCTGTTCCTCTTCAGCTGGGATGGCCAAGGCAGCCTAGAACATGGAGCTCAACTAACTCAAAATCCATTTCTGGGTCATTTTTGTTTTTAAATTTTAAACTAGAGCTCTGCCACCACCATTAAAGTTTTGCTGAGCCTAAGCTAAAATATGCCTTGCTTTGAGTTGCTGCTTACAGCAATTGCTGGGTCTCACAAAGTGTATTGTATTGAGTCTGGAGAGGGCAAGGAGCTGTCAGCACTGAGACCAAGTCTCCAGAGAAACACGATGGGTTGTGGTTCAGAGCCCAGGTGTTGGGTAAGGAGGCTCCTGCTGTGTCTGCACTAGTGAAGCCACCTTTGCTGCACCAGTGTTCCTGGCTGATGGACTAATCAGTGTGCCCATGATTAATGTCCTGAGGCTCCTGAATGGTTCAGTGTAAAACAGCCACTTGCAGAAACTCTGAATCACCAGTTCTGCTTTGGAAGGGAGAGAGGGGCAGTGTATCACCTGGAAAGGCTGCTTTCTGTGCTCGGTGTGCAGGAGTGCACGTGCTTACCCCACCTCCAGCCCATGGGTCCAAGTCTCCATTTGAAAAAATGATGTTGCTTGCACTTTTCAGGTCTGAAATTCAGAGAGATGACATTTGAGAGCCTCCTTCCTGCCCATTTACCCAAATGTGTTTGGCTACTACAGGAAGCATGGCTCGGAACAGAAAACAGGAGAATAAACCAAATTCTTGGCAGTTTTTAGATTTTCCACTTCTGTCTCAAAGAGGTACAGAAAAGTCTGTTTGGCTTAAGTCAGCACAAGGCTGTGACTTTCTGCCAGGACTTGTTAGTGCACTGTGGCCTGTCCCTTCGGAGCTCAGTTGGGCAGAAGGGGACAGGCAGACAACTACAGGGTAATGCGAAGGGGTGAGAAGCCAGCACAGCTCACCTCCTCCCCAAAAGTTTGTCTGCAGCCAGTGTGCTCGTGGCCTCACGTGCCACTTGCTCTGACAGTACTGCTCTCGCATGGCCTCCGTGAAGGGCATCTCGGGGAACATGTCGGTCACATTATTGCTGTTGAAAGTTAAGTTGATCTCGGTGCAAACCTAGGAGAGGTGCAAAAGCTGTCACAGGGAGGGGGGATAATCATGGTAGGAGCTGAAACTTGTCAGTGTCTCCAGCACCTTACCTGGTAGTCCCAGGCCTCAGCGTCCGGGCCGCTGCCACAGCCTGTGGGGTCAGCACAGGCCTGGTACAGCCGGTATATGTCATAACACTGCGCTGAGCTGGAGGAGTTGTAGAACACCCCTGCCAAGTGGGAACAGCACAAAGCCAACCTGTCAGTGCCTCTCTGCTGTCTCACCCACTGCCTCCCACGTGAGCCTCATGGCCAGACCAAGCAGAGGGGTAGCTATCCCAGCTGGGAAAGTGCATAAGGCTGGGGCAGAGCTAGCAGGGTCTGCACCAGTGTTACATTATGAGCCCAACTTTATGCCAAAGTTTTCACATGGTCCCGAGCCCAGCTGCATGATACCCTTTGCTTCTGCTCTATCCATGGGGATGATCCCAGGTGCTCTCCGCTGTCTCTACTTGTGCCAGAAGCCAAGGAACAAGCTCACTAGTCCTTGGGAGAACCTCCAGTCCCCAGAACACCCAGGGACAGGCTGTGTACAGGACCTTGGCTGAATGATTCAAACTGAACGAGACAGAACTGCTGAGACCTTCCCACCCCCTCCCTGAAAGCATCAAATCTAGTCAGAGGGCCAAGGGCAGTAAATCACAAACATGATTTTGTTTGACTGTTGTTCAAGAAGGGGAAGATGGCATGTGCAGGCTTGCCCTGATGAAAGAGCACCTGACCAGGCAGCCCAGCGAAGCAGAGCTGGGGAGCTGCTGAAGAATGAACTGCTTTTTGTGTGGACGGGTAGTTACCAGATAGCAAGGAGGAGGAATGCGGCCACACCGGTGGCTGTCTGCTGCTTCCAGTGTCACAGCCCACAGGCAAAACCCACAAACACTGTGGGCTTTGTCTGATAACCAGCACCAACAACTCCACTTGCAAACGGCCCCACACAGCTCTGCAAGGCACACAGAGCTCTGCGCCGGCAAAGGCCCCTGAAGAGGGAGGCTGCTGCAGCTGCTGCCTTCTGTACAGCTCTGCGGTGTGGGCAGCACAGCCTCGGCTCCCTTGGAGTGTAAAACCACCGGTTCTGCTGCAGGAGATGTGCTGAGTGTGTGCAGTGAGGGGTCCTGAGGCTGCCCCAGGGCTACACCTCGTTCAGAGAAATGTTGCTCAGCTCCCAGGCCAGCACGGTGAGGCTTGTGTCAGACACCTATCTGGCAAAACTCCTGGAAGGGCTCAACAGCCTTCGCTCGCAGAGTGCGCTGTGCGACGTAACACTGGAGGCAGAAGGGGTTTGCTTTCCAGCTCACAAGATCGTTTTAGCATCAGCAAGTAATTACTGCAAGATCCTGTTTGTTGGAAACTTGACAAGAGCAGACAGCACAGACAGCAACGTTCGGCTGAAAGCTGTCAGTGCTGCAGGGCTGCAGAACGTTCTCAACTTCATTTACTCCAATAGGCTAGACCTCTCATTACAGAATATCGAAGAAACCTTCAAAGCTGCAGAAACCCTCCTGGTTCGGGAGGTGATCAAGCTGTGCTTTTGCTTTCTGGAGAGCTGCTTGAACTGTGAAAACTGCATAGATGTTCTTAACATTGCTAAAAAACTCGGCCCAGCAGAGCTGAGACAGAAAGCCATGTGCTATGTAGGGCAGCATTACAAAGAGATCCTGGCTGATCCTCAGTGTTTGAAAGACCTGGACCGAGGAACCCTTTGTGAAATTTTAGAGAGGACTGACACTGAGGAATGCTGCGAGCTGGAGCTGTTCAAGGCCGCTGTGATCTGGCTGGAGCACGACCGCGTGCGGCTGAAAGATGCAGCAGATATTTTAGGGCGCATAAGATTCCCTCTCATTCCTTTAAGGGATCTGCAGAGCTGTGTCCAGGAAATGCCCCTTATGAGGCTGGATTCAGGCTGCCACAGGTACCTGCAGGAGGCTCTGACTTACCACTCCCGGCTGTATGCTCAGCCAGTCCTGCAGACGCAGAGCACGAGCCTCCGCTCCGGTTCCACCGCACTGCTGGTGGCTGGCGGCAGAACTGCTGACAACTGCTTGTGCAGAGAGATGTGGGCTGCAGACCAGAGCTGCAGCGCCTGGCACAAAATCGGGGACCTCTGTGTGCCAGTGTACAACCATTGTGTCGCCATCATCAACGACTTCCTCTTTGTCATTGGGGGACAGTGCAAATTTGATCCCACAGGAAAGCAGCCATTGAATGAGGTAAGGCACAAGAAACATGTAGCCTTGGAAAAATGGCTGGGTGAGGAAGGGAGGGAATCAGTCTTCTTGCCCACCACACATCATCTACCTCTACCTATTTCTTAGCACTCTGTACAGTGCTGAGAACCCTTGGGAACAGAGCTTCCAGACTCTGGGAAGCAACGAGGTCCTGCCCTGGTCCCACCATGCTCCTGCTGTAAACTGTCATCCTGATCCATACACAACTCCCAGAGCGCAGGTTCAGCCAGGTCCACATCAGTCAGTCAAGCAACCTCCTGAATGCTACCCTATCCCCCTTGTTGCTGCCCTAGGACTTGCACTCGGTAGGCAGGTTAAAGCCACTTCACTTGAGAGCCCCTCCTTCCTTGGTTTTGCCCTTGAAAGGTAAATCTCCTTTAGCTTCCAGGACCTTCCTCTTCTGCCTTAAGTGTAAAAAGACTTGTGCAGGATTTTATGTTTTCTTAGATGGCTTCAGTGAGTTTGCTAGAAAAAACAGCATGTTTTTCATTTCCATACTTCCAGGGGACTTATTTCAGCATTGTACTTAGTTCAGCAGTGCCACTGTAAACGGCAACTTTCTTCCACTGCCTTGAAGGCAGGAGGCTGCTCACAGCAGCAGTGGAGCAGAGGATGCTGAAACAGCAGGGCTGTGTGTGGTTTTGCAGATACTGCTCTTGCTCACTGACATGGGCTTTCTAACCACGACTGACAAAGCAAGTTTGGGGAGGTATTTACTGCTAAACAAGATTTGAGTGGAACCCCAGCCTTAGCAGAGGTGCTACACCCCTGTGGGGATGCCATCAGGGATGAGGGGAGGGGAAGCCACTCCTGCCTTCTCCTGGGCAAGAGCAGCAGGCAAAGCTCAGCTGCTCTCTACTACAAACAGTAGCAGAGATGCAAAATGTGCTTGTTTTAAATATCACCAAAAAAGTTTTCAGCTGACACATGCTAGCTGTGTTTGAAACAAAGGCATTTCATTGAGCCAATGTGTTTGACCTCCTGCTTGCTGCAGGAACAGGAGCACAACCTGTCCCAACCCCCACAGACCTGCAGAAAGGCTGTAACTGAGCCACCAGCTCCACTGGGAAGGTACTGCTGCTATCAGCTGGCTGGCACTGGAAGTTGAGCCTGTCCAGGTCTGAATATAAAACCTTCCTCAGTCCAGGGAAAATATTTATCAGTTCTTGAAGGCACACAAGGTGCAAGCCAGCCACTTGCCTCCTGCTAACCATCACCATCTGCTGTGATCCTAGGTTTTCCGATTTGATCCCCGCAACGCTTCCTGGCTCCAGGTCGCCAGTATGCTGGAGAGGCGGACGCGCTTCCAGGCAGCCGTACTGTTTGATCGCATCTTCGCTGTGGGTGGTGGGACACTGCTGGGGACCCTCACCCGCACCACGGAACTGTACCAGCCCGCTGACAACAAGTGGGAGTTCACAGCTCCCTTCCCCGTGCCTATCGCTGATCACGCAGGCACAACCCACAAGGGAATACTCTATATTTCAGGTGATAGAGCTAGTAGAAAGCAGCATATTGTCATATAGTTTCATTGATTTTTGCTGGTATCTTAATGCCTGCACCCACACCAGTAACACCCACAGCTCCAGTGCCCCTTCCCTGCTGTGTTACCACAGCCTCACTGCCCTCCTGAATGCCAGGAATTCTTTACAAGACGTTAAAGGTGACACCATCTGCTTGCAATCCACACCCCTGTTCACCCTTGACCTTGCAATCCTGGCTCAGTCTTTACGGGATCTTTGGTAGATGGGGCAGGATGTTTCACAATAAAGCAGGACAGGTTTCAACAGTTCAGAAAATTCTTGTGGGATCTTTAGCTTTTGCAGGTACTAATTTGGTCTTGAAAGATGATCTTTGGTTTGTTCTAGGAACTGCACGGTGTTTGTGTTACCGCCTCTGCAGTTAAAAGTCCTGGGCCAGTCTGCCATGGCCACAGGTTCCCTGCACCAGTCACAGCCCACTGGGATCAGGGTACTGCTCTAGTCCAGATGAACCACAGCTGCACAGCTGCAGCAAAGGGCCCCTCTCTGGGATGGACTGTACACCTGAGGCCTGGTGGCAGCACAGGGGCTGCCCTACCCAGATGTGTCCCCCCCTCCTCCCCCGTGACAGCAGGCCTCCTGCATGGCAGTGCAGGTGGATAATGGCTTAGCTGGGGAGCTGCTGAGACTCAGGTTCAAGTCCCTACTTTGACTCAGCTGGCCCATGGCACCAGAAGCAGCTCATTTAATTCCTGTTGGTCTCAATTCCTACCCAAGAGCAAGGACACAATTGCCTCTCAGAGCTGCAAACACAGCCCAGTGATCTAGGCTGGATAACACTAGACCCCTTGGGTTTATACCTACCTAGAGCATTCATTTCCTTCTGGGCTACTGGGGTGACTGCAAATTTGGTTTGGCCAGCCTACGGCCTTGCCCAAGCAAACTGAAAATTAAAAGCAGACAAAGTATTCACGCCTAGGTGAGCTGGGGCTTATGGCCAACCTGAAATACCATCTGCCTTGTTTGCAGACTCTGTGCAGGCTGGAATTCAACAGACAGGTAGCTGGAGGTGTTTACCCTTCCCATAGCAGCACCCTCCTCCTGCAAGGAGCTTTTTATAATGCACACCTGAAACACACAAGTGAGTGCCCAATAAGGAGAAAAAGTTGACAACAGCACTGGCAGATTGGCTCTGAGCTTCTGTCAAAGATCCAAAGTTCAAAGAGCTTTGAACGTTTTTCTTTCAAACCACCATTCTGTGACTCTGTGCAGGAAGCTGTTCCTGGTTACACTTGAAATACCTTAATACCTTATTCAAAAATATTTTGTGGAAAACTGTTTACAGAAAGAGCTGGAAATGGTTTGGGATCCCCCCCCCCCCTTTAAAATTCCTTAAGAAGCTCAGGTTTTAAATTTCGCACTGCGTCAGCTCTGCAGAATGGTGTGAAATTTTAAATCCCAGCTTCTTAAGTATTTTAAAGAAAAAAAAAAAATCAACTCTGCTAATGTTTGCAGAAGATTTGCTGGATGTCAGAGAGGATGATGGACAGATTTTTCAAGACTTCTGCTTTTCTTTTAGGAGGCTTCTCTGGGGGTAAAACCTTACAAGACACATACAGCTACCTCCCTCGCCTCCGACGCTGGATTGGCAACAGTGCCATGGCTTTTACCCGCTGTGATCATGGGATGGCTACAGTCGGGGACAAGATCTTTAGCATTGGAGGAAGGACACTAAAAGGAGTAAGTTTATTTTTCTTCTAATCCCAAATCTGATCCAAACCAGGGTCTCTGTATTGCTAGGCCCTGTTTTATTCCAACGGGTTGACATTCATCATTTTTGGTCTCTTTGTGGACTGGCACAGTTCCAAGTCAGGCCAATAAGCTTATGAAAATGTGCCTGTCATTATAATAATGTGCATGAGAAGCTGCCCTGTTGTCACACTATCTGCTAAAGTACAAAGGCTGTTTAAAGTATTTTTTTAAACAGAGAATACAGTGGAGGTGCAGCCTGTTAACACAGGAAAAAACTAAGTGTAAAACTGGTCACATACCTGCCCCTAACACACTGACCACTTTCCTTGTTCAAGCAGAGAGAGGAGGAAACACTGGCAGAGGGGAAGAGGAATGAACTGCAGTGAGGACACTAGCCTAGATTTTAGGAAAGATGGGCTCAAGTCCTGGAATGCAAGTGAAGTTTCTTCAAACCTGTATTTCCCATCTCTGAAAGAGGAGGGAAAGCACTGCCCAGCCTCCTGGGAAGAGACCTGACAGGGACTGAAAGGGTGACTCTAGGAGAATCCCATTCCCTAAAGCCAAAAGAACGGAATTTTCAAAGACCATTCAGCAATTCCCATTTGAAAGTGTAAAGACTCAGGGCCTGGCCCCATTTTACCATGATGGATACAGTTTCTTTTGAAAGAACGAGGATGTCTTAGAGTACTTATTGCTCACTGAGGAAAGGGATAGAATCTATAAACTGCACATCAAGGCTGATATCCAGTTCCTCCAGATGACACCAACTCAGTTATTGTCCACAATTCAATGCAATATAGCCCTCTTCAGATTATTTTACTCGTAATGTGTTAAGAGTCTGGAGAGCAGGCAGGACTTGGGCTATGCCAGTTCCAGCAGGTCCCTGTGGCACCTTGTTCAGCTCACTCCTTTGACTTTCCAAGAAGAATGCTCCTTTAAAGCCGTGCCATTCTGGTATTTTATTCAGTTTCCTTTGAGGCTCTGATTGCTAAATGTGGATCAGCACCTTGACCCCCATGATATTCAAACAGATGCTGAGATACTGGTTTCCTTTGTCATGAACCAAGCCAGCCATGACAGTGATGCCCACTCAAGGTGTGATAACAGGTGAGTGTTGGTCTGTTTTTTTGCAGGTGAAGGAGTGGATTCATGTCAGTGAGACAGAGTATTATTGTCCTGTAAGCAATCAGTGGACAACACTAACGCTCTCCCCATTTAACTGCTGCCAGTTCAGCATCACAGCCCACAACACTATGCTGTACCTTGCAGGAGGTGGGAAGCTGAAGCACATGCAGAAAGAAGACAGTGTCTTCCTGTATGACACAGAGGGGCAGGTATGGAAGAAAGCCAGTCCCCTGCCTAAAGCTCTGGTGGATCATGCCTCTTGCATGATTAAACTGTCCCAAGTGAATGCAGCTGGTGAGATGGAGGGAGCCACAAAGCGCTCCCCCACAGGAAGGAGGAAGAAATCTACCCTCAGCTTGTTCATCACAAAGAAACAAGAGTCCCACTCTGCCTCAAAAAAGTAAGAGGATGTGAATACATCAAGGGATCTGACAGTGTTTGCCAAGACATTAGTATTTTAACAACTCTTATAGTTTCCAGGCAAACATCTTTAGCAGTTATTTGGAACTGGTACATTTCTGACTTGGTGCTATCATGTGACACACATAATTTGCAAAAAAAAAAAAATTAGTTCCCAATCCCACTAAACTGCATTAAACCCATAAGAATTCCTTAAATCGATTTTTTTGTCATTCAGAACCTGTTTTTCTGAATAATGACCAAGGTAAAACTTATTTTTAATGAGGAAGTTGAGAGATTTTATGAGGAAGTCTTCAAAAGAGTTTTTAATTCTGTCTCTAATAATTTCTTTACAAACACTGCTGGCTGACAAATCAAGTACTCAAAGAGATGTACATTTAAGATTGTCTTGCCACTGGATTAAGACCATAGGGTACTGTGATGAGAACCTCGTCCTCAACACGCAGACCAGATAACTTCCTCCAGTGAACGTGCATTGAACCTGTGACTGCTTGAACCAGAGTGTGGGTAAACTTTTAGAAAATAACCAAGTACCTTAGAGGTCCACATCTCATGGACAGACAGGCTATGGGGCTGCAATCGCTGAAAAACCTGACAAGAATAAGTTTGGAAAGGTGAGAGAATGAACCCATGGGCCACCATGGGACATCCTCACCAAAAAGTCAATATGGGGCAAAACATCCCTGTGGAAGATCGGAGTCATACCAGCTCCCACAATACACAACCTGCACAACAACACAACAGCTCTACTTGTAGGTGCTTCTGGAAAACAGAATGTTAAATAGAAGACCAAACTGGTAATATTAACTCACCAACAAGAGCAGCCAGGCCTTGAATTGGGTCTGTGTGGGCAAGGATTTGTTCACAGCTGACCTGGATGAGACACATTATAGGTAAATTGCAGACAGGATAGTTAACAGTCTCTGCTCCAAAGAAGATCTAAGCTGGAAGATTCATTACAATAATCACTTACACATTTTATGGTTCAGCAGTTTTCCGAGGGCCTAATGCAACATGTTTCGAGTGTTTTTTTCCCCCTCCCTTCTAGCAATAAAATATATAAAAACAAGGAGACAGGGCAAGGACAAACAGTTCCTTTAACAAGTTAAGCAGCTGTGAAAAGGTCAGTGATACACAACAGTTCCTTCCCTCTACAATCAGAATATTTTAACACCCTCCTCAATGCAGGTAGAATAATTATTTCCATTTTACATGTTGTTAAACAGAGCCTAGAAGGGGACTGGATGCCCAGTGGAGCCAGAGACAGCATGTCCTAAGTCCCAGTACAGCATAGCCTGTATGACCTCTTACACAGTATGCATTTTGCCTCAGGTAGGGCTTGAACCATAAATGCTCTAAAGCCAGGGGAAAATAAAGTCCTGTCTGTGTGGTGTGCTGGAATGCAGCAGAGAACAGCAGCAAAAGGCTGACAGAACACCGGAAGAAACCAAGAACTGCAACAGCAACTGGTGATCTGGGGTCAAAGTTAGGACCTTTCAAAAGCAGCGGGTGTCTGAGAAGTCTTTGTAACCCCCTGACAACCAGGCCCCTTACCTACATTTTGCCATCAGATTCTCTTGAAAGTTTGCAGGTTTTCCAGCCCCCACAGCAGCAGGCTTTCCCCTACATTATTCTCTGAGGTATGTCATCTTCCTGAGTGACACTTAGGAAGGAGCCTGATTTTTAGATCTCCATCCCTACCCACCAAGAAAAATAGATCTATGAAAGTGTGTTGAGGTGTGCTACAACAAAGCACTTTTTTTAAAAAAAAGCTACGGGTTTTTAGTGTTTAAAAGCTGAAGTCAACAAGTTTGCACAGGCCTTTGTGTCCAAGGTAAAGGCAGAGCAGGGTAGGGGTGGCTCCAGCAAACCCTGACAAGCCTCACAGCAGTGCATTTCAAATACAGCAGTCACTGTCACAGAGAAGTTTAAAATGTGTAGATTTACTGTCAGAGTGGAAGGGCTGCAACTTCCACCACTACCTCCCTCTGTCACCATCGCTGATGGTGTGTCCCCAACTGTGTCCCTGCACTCTGGTCACCAAGGTGCACAACAGAAACTGTGACTCTCACCCACATCCTGGGACTCACCTTCACGGGATTGGCAGGGAGGTGACCCATGAAATCGGTTTTGTAAGGGTAGTCCATCATGGCCATCATGGTGAAGGCATTTCTAGCAAACCCAAAAAGCTGGTAAACATCCTCCCTGTTAGAGATCTTATTGCACGTGGACATTTTGCTGCTGATTTCATTGTAGGCTGCAGAAGGAAGGAAAATGAAAGACACAAACATCAGCAGAGGAAAACAATACTGTGCTTCAGCACCTGGCTTCACTCAGGAGTAAGGAGATGCCATAACACACAGATGAGGTTTCTAGTGGGAAGGAAACATTACGTCTAAATTTACACACATATGGATATTCAGGTACAGCCTTCCCATGCAGCTTCACAACCCCGCACGGCCCACAGCCCACACTGCTCCCTGCAGGGCCACCAACACCTCCCTGGGGAGCCCAGAGGAATCAGCACCCACCGAGACAGCAGCAGCCCCAGCTGGCACAGTGAGAAGAGCAGTTTGGTACAAGCCCATCCCTGCCCGTGCCCTGCCTGGCTGCCTCCTCACCCCCACAGGCTCCCTCCCTGGGCCTTGCTGAGTTACACAGCACAGTCTCCCCAGGCAAGTTCTCATGCAGGAGAGCCGGAGCCAGGACATCTGTCTCTGAAGAGATTTCTTTAAGATGCAGTCTTATGCCTTTGCACTTCTGCTGCGGAAAGCTGCTCCCTTAATTTTCATCCTCCACATTCAGGTGTTACAGTTCCTGTCTGTCCCCATCGTACCCTACAAGCTGCCCACTGCAGCCCAGCTGTCTTTACTTGGAAACCCAAGGCCTGGCATCTGCCTCGTGAGCCTAAGCCTTAAATAAGACCACCTTATCCACCCTGCTGCAGAAAGCATGGCACCAGGACCTTGGCTATTTAACAGTAACATCTTTCCTGCTGTGACCCAAAGCTAAATGGGGTTTTGGACCCCTGGCTGCTCTGGGCAGTTCCAGGACCAGCCCCTGCAGCAAGGCAGTAACAGCAGCCATCGGACATGCAGCACCACAGACCAACCCAAGCCTTGAGACAGACCAGGAAGCCACTACAGCTGTTCTACCACCATGCAGAGCTCCCAGGAGATGCTGTGTCTGTCCCTGATACCTGGTCTGACACTGCAGAGACCTTCACCTGTCTCTGTCCTTGGCTTCACCTAACTGTCCAATATTGGAGATGGAAGACTGTGATGGCTGCTTCAACACCTAGATTGCCTTCCAAATATTTCTCAGATATGTCCAGAGAGCTGAGCCACGCAGCTGTCATACACCTGAACAGTTCCCAATGGCATGGGCACTGAGGACAAGTATTTGGTGAAACATGAGGATTTACCAGCATAAAATACAGGTGGTTTGCACCTGCAGGTGTTTTTTGCACTTTGATGCAGAAAAGATGGTTTCATTAACACTGAAAGCATAGATGCTTTCATTTTGGTGTTGATTACTAATTATAATGCTAACTGAAACTGTTAATTAAATAAAAAAAAAAATCAGTCATACAAGCAGAAAGAGGTGACCAGGTGGGCATTTGCATTGATTTAGCTGAACCAGTTGAAGATCCAGCTGAAGTAAAACTGAATCAACTTTTTTCCACACAGCTGGGACTGCCTGCTGGCTGCCCTTGGGGCTATCCTTCCTTACCTCCTCTCAAGCACAGATCCTTAATCTGCTGGAAGGCTTTACGGACAGCTGTAACACAACTGGGGCTGGACTTCTGAAAATCCTGAATGGACAGAAAAGACACAGGATTACGGTTGCACAGAGGAGATATGTGTGGAGGCTGCATTGGGAAGAACTGCTAGAAGTATCAGAAGGTGACAGGGGTCACTGGCCCACTGGTCAGAACCTCATCTACATCTCCAGGAGCAGTGACAGTGGTGCTTCTACCTTGTTGTCCAGACAATCAGCACGTCCCAGTAGAAGCCAGTAGTCTGCAGAGCTCAGACCAAGCAGCAGCTGTTCCACCAGGTCTCAATGGAATGAGTTGTTAGACAAAACACTTTCCATTTAGTGGAGCCATTAGACTGAACATGAAACACATGCTCCCAGGACATGGGAAGAGTGACAGGCTCCTAGGCCTGAAAGTTTGGTGGGTTGTTTTTTGTTTGTTTGTTGTTTTTTTTTTCCTTTTAAACAGACAGTAGAGTTCTTCCAACTACACTTTGTCTACGTGAAAGGAGCCATGGAGAAGTCAGTTATGCATAGAGAGTCTGGGAACCAAGACCTGCTTTTCTTCTTAAGCCTGCCAGTGATGTGCCAGATGACCAAGAATCCCACATCCTTTTTCTTGGGAAAAACATTACTGATCCTGAAAAAGCACTTTAAGGTACATTTGAAGAACTGTGGCTGGTTATGCTGGCGCAACAAGTTGTCACTGAAAGTTTTAGCAACCCAAACTGTTTCTCTTCTGTCAGCTTGTAACAGTTTGAGATCTTCTGGCAACCAGTGCTTTGTAATAATAAGAATCATTAGGGTTCTTTTAAGGTCCCTTTACCCTGCTAGAGCTATGGTTAAGTAACCACAAGTCACTAGCTAAGCATTTTTTCTTACAAAGACCCAGACTAAACTAAAAACAGATTTGGGACCTTCCTTTTATTCCTGACTCTGTTATGATTAGAGAAATCATTAGGAAGTTTTCCACAGTTTACCTCTACATCCCTTTAGGAGTTACAGATCTCCTTCTGATGTGCTTACTGATCTTCATCTACTAATGGCTCTAATTGGTGTGGACACCTTGGCCTGGGACAGAGGAGCTGGTCTGCTCTGGCTGCCGTGGGGGCTGAGCTCCCCATTAGCTGCAGCAGGGCCCTGCTCCTCCTGTGCTCCCCTGCAGAGCTGTACAGACCCAGGAACAGTTCAGCTGAGCCCTGGCAGAAACAGAGGCAAGAGTCATCACAAGCATTCCAAAGAAAGCTGCTACCCCTCCAGGCTGCCAGCTTTCCTCTTTTCAACCACACCTAGTTCAGATGTCTACACTGATCTGAAGTCCAGGCCTGCAGCAGTAACCTCAGGGGAAGCACCCATTTGGCTGTATGGGTGGTGCTCACCAGGGGCTCTCTGCCGGGCTGCAGGCAGCACACCTGGCACGTATAACCTATTCTTATGCAAATGCATTATGGAACATCTGCCTTCTGCCCTTTGCTCACTTCCCCTGTGAGCTGGAGGCTTATCAAATGGACTGGAAAAGCTCAGTAAAAGTCAGAGAAAGCTGCTCTGAGACAATGCACTCTGGACTCCCAGGAAGAGAGAGCTCCCACATGATTCATGAAAGGTTTCTGCCTTCATTAGCATTAACAGCTCTCCGGGGGGTGTTCTCTCACCAAGAAGAGCAATTGAATTCAGATTTCAGATGCACAAATTGCTTTTACGAAAACATGTTGAAGGTGGAAGGAATTACTTTGAGAACAACAAAATGCTTGCTTAGGCTCTCAGCCCAGAGGTCAGCTTATCACTGCAGAGAGAATATATTTTAAAATTAATTGGAAAGTTTCTTCACATGAAAAGGTCAAAGCCCTAATTACAGAGGTGTGTAATGACTCACAGCATATTTACAGCTCAATCAAGAGAGAGATATCAGTTGAACAGAGCTTCTGAGAAGGGAAGAATTCTCACCACAGGGTCTGTTAGAAGATTAAGTAGTACTGCATTTTTAAAAATGTGTAATTTTAAGAAAAGATGTCTTTAATTCTCTTATACACTTAGAATTTCAAATGCTGTTGTGTTTATTTTAACATGATTTACACTTAATGGTAATGCTATCTGTCCTGTAAGTCTCTGCATTGAAACAAGAGCAAAAAGACCTCAAGTTTCATACGCAGGTACTTCATGCAAAGCCATGTGTGTCACCCAGATCTAGAAATTCATGTCGAATAAAAGGCAACATAGACACCATCACAAGATTTCAGTACTACCATCTAGTACATTTCTTTCCTTATAAGTCAGTTCTAAGCAATACCACTTTCCTATGGGGCCTATGTCCCCAACTGTGAAAGCCACATTTAAATTTTGGTTTTAAGTGAACCCAGGATACCTTGCATATTTTTAACTAGTGAAATGAATATTTTCAAGCTCTTCACTGAAATGCAACCATCTTGGGACTAAGGAGCTGCTGTGAATTATTGATATCAATGCAAAATACAGCATTCTGGGAGATCTGAGTCATAAATTACCCAAAGGACATTCAGCCAGACACAAAAGAAAACTTTCAGGCTGCAATATGATCAAGTCACTAGAAATGGGAAAGTGAATCCTTAGTGGTACTAAAGGTGCTAGAACTGAGTTGTGGTGCTTATCAGAGAAGCACCTTTGGGCCCTGAGCTGCCACAGCTACGGCAGTGCTCAGCCATCACATCCACAGCTGCTGCTTTTATGGGTGAGTTCCCATTTAATTGCATTCCCTGCCCAGAACTGATGCTGTGAAGACAGATGTCTGTTTAAATACATGGAAGAGGAAAAAAATCCAGCCTTCCTAAAGGAAGAAAGTAATGCTCCTGAAAAGAGATGCTACTTACTGCTGTTACATCTCTGAAGAACTGGGTGGGCTCTCCAAGACCAGCCACAGACAACAGAGGAGCACTGGCAGCTAATGCTCCAGCCACGAGGTTTGGGTATTTCATCCTCATGTAAGCGCTCAGCATTCCTCCATAGCTGCCACAGCAGAGACAGAAGAGTTACTTCCTTTAACAGACTTTATAACATGGTAACTCAAAAGTTCAGGCCAACATTCATAGGCTCACCTAATCCAAGGCAACAAGAAGCTTACAGGTATCTAACAGATGCCATCCTCATGTAAAGAGATCCAGTTATGGTCAATGAGCAGTACACAATGTGTTCTAATTGGCCTGTCCCCGAACATTCACACCAACTCCAGTGGGAACAGAGCAGCCCAGTTTGTTTCTGCAGCCAAATGTAAAGTCTGCCTCAGTATTTAACTCTGCACCTTCAGGAGTGTGTCCTGAGGGCTTCAGTGCAGAACCAAGTGGGGCTTAAGTGAGGTTGTCACTGTTCAGTGTGGAAAGGAGACACATTTTGCATACAGGATTATAAAGACTAGCTAGGCTCTTAGCAAAGGGTGTCCCTGAACACTACAGGACACAGAGCCCTCTCTGGTGCTGTGGAGTATTCTCCCTGGGCACCCCAAATAACAGCTGCATAGATGATCAGCACAGATATAGGGAATGGGAGACATTAATAAATACCACAATAAAACTCAAAGCCACCTTGGTAGTTTCAGTTTGAGGGCCACAATCTGCAGATATATCAAGAGTTGCTAGATAAACCCAAGGTGACAGAAGTTATTCATATGCTGATGTTTGTGGAGTTACTCTGAGGTCACTCTGGGAGTGGCAAATGACATCCCCAAAACACAGATAACACCCAGTCTGAGTCCAAGCTTACAGGTATTCAAGTCTCCCTCCCCACCACCCCAAGTGGTTGCAGTAAATACGATTTCACACATCACCCACATGTAAAACCATATGCATTTCTCTAACCCTTGGAAATGGGTATTAGCTGAAACCTGCCACAAGTAATTTCACATTAAAGTTTGGCAAAGTTATAAGCAACAGAAGAGGGTGGGGATTTTTTCTCTCATAGGAGATGCTGTGCCACTCCAACACTGCTGGGTTTAGTGCTGTTTGAGGCTGCTACAGACTCAACTCTGATGTACACACATGGAGATGTAGTCCAACGTGCAGCCCAGCTAGCAGGTTTTGCTGAATCCCTCTCTCACCTCCCCATCCCAGGACAGCTCTTGGCCTTTTACATTAGCTACTGGCCCGACAGTGACAGTACAAATACCCCTGAGATCTACAGTCTAGTCACAACCACAGTTAGCTGGGAGTTTAATAACTATGAGGTCAAATGTTTGTTACCTCACTGCAACTAAATTAGAAGCCCTGTACTTGGTCCTTTTAAAGAGAAGCATGGGGGAGCCTATTCAAGAGACAAGGACATCACATCAACACAGCTGAGCTGCAACAGAACAAGCATTTTGGGGAAGGACTTCTGCTAGGAAGCCAGGAGCAACCAAGCAGCAGGTTAGAGAGCAGAATTATGAAGAAGCCTACAATGAAAATGGCTGGATGTTGTAAAAAAATGGGTGGCCTCTGGAAAGAATATTTTACCAATTATTAGTTTTCTGTATTTCCAATGGAAAATGTTCTTATTCTGCAGAAGCAATTTCTGATTTTCTGGAGTTCTGGCTGACTTGTACATTAAAGACACCTAGAAACATCTTAGGCAGTGGTTCTTCTCCAAAGCAATCACAAATGGAGACTAATTCTTGATGGGAGAACTGACTGGGACCTGGTAATGAGCTCTTGGGAGCTGAGGTACAGGCCCACCTGCTCTCTGTTGGAGAGCTTAAAGCTCTGCTGTTAGAACTTGCTTGAGAGCCAAACAGATCTATGGGAACAGCATGGCTGTGACAAGATGCAGAAAAAGGAAGCAGCACACACAACCCTTACCTGCCTCCAAAAGCAATGACAGGGCAGTCTGCAGCACCATACTGCTGCTTAAGCTCAGTAATTAGCACTGCATAGTCAGCGAGGGCTTGTTCCACGGTAAGCAGAGCAGTCTTCTTCAGCTGCGTTGACTCAAGTCCAAATGGAAGAGACTTCCCATAGTACCTCTGAAAGGAAAGAGGTATGCTCAAACTTTGTTCTCACCACAGAACTGGGATAAGTGTACACAAATGGTAAGTGATAACAGAGCATGTGGGGTTCTCTAACTTGTTTGTAACTGAGGAAGTGCTTGTCTCCTGCATCTGATAAACTGAAACTTTCAGGACGTATTATCCTGTAGAGGATGGACAGTCTATGAGAAATGACTTAGTGGGTGCCAAGTCGGCCCTCAGCACACGTGTCTCCTGAAATCCCCAACGAGAAAAGGGAACAGGGTAATCTCTTCATGCATAAATTGTGGAATACCAGATTTAATAGAGTGGTGTGGGAAAGGTTGACTTGGGACTCCGCAGGCTAGGGAGATTACACATTACCCAAACAAAATAACTCTCTAGTCCAGTGTGGAGTTCAAGGCCTGTGGAAACTACTTACAAAAGCACTGGTCTAATGCAAATACACCATGGCATAGGTTTTACTGAAACAGTAGTCTGTATCCTGGATTGCTGGTAGGCATAGTAAAAAAAATTCAGACGCAATGGTTCAATAAAGAAAAGCTGCTACCATGAGGAGAAGGCGTACAGCAGGTATACCTCAGCTTCATGGCAAGAGATGTTATTGTTTTTCCAGACCTGCAGAAAGTTGAATTCGGTAACACCGAACAGAACAAGACTCTATAGTATGCATAATGACTAAAATACTCACATGCTCAGCAAAAATCACAAGTGCTTGCTGTTCTTCTGCCAATTCAAATATGAAGTCAGAGTTCTGAGCAAAAGTCCAGATATCACCTTCATTGCCAGTATAGAAAAAGATGGGTCCAAATCCTTTCTTCCAGAACTTTGCTGAGTGAGACAATTGACAGAAGCAAATTAAAAAAAACCCAAACCACAAAAAAAGCACACATGAGCATGAAATGACTATACTTCTGGTGAGTTTGGGCAGGAGCTTAGCAGGAAGAACTCTGTGAACAGGCTGATCCCTGAGAACCTGAGCTGAGGCATAAAGGCATTAGAAAGACCAGGCTACAGAAATCTCTCATCTGAGCAGGTGTAAATAACAGCTTCCATGAGATCAGTACATGGCCTTGAACTTCTGCCTGAAAATCCCTAAAATTTCAGTTCTGAGAGTCATTTGGAAACAGCTGCCCTCAAAAGAGCCATTTCCCATTTATATACCTTTTTCAGCCCAACTCATCCCAAAGTACTTGCACAGATCACTTTTCCCACAAAATGAACATTAGGGCATTGCCTGAATCTTTCTGCTGCTCCTGCTGTGATGTATAAGGTAGAGACAAGCTGTAAATGACATATCATAGAATGGTTTGAGTTGGAAGGGACCCTTGGAGATGACCCAGTTCAATCTCCCTTCCATGGGCAGGGACTTTTTCCACCAGATCAGGTTGCTCAAAACCCTGTCCAGCTTGATTTCGAACACTTCCAGGGACAGGGCATCCATAACTTTTCTGGGTAACCTCATCCACTATCTCACCATCCTCATAATAATATATTTCTTCTTTATGTCCAGTCAAATCCACGCTCTTTCAGTTTAAAACCATTACCCCTTGTCCTCTTGCTACAGGCCCTGGCAAAAAGCATCTCTCCACTTACTTATAAATTCCCTTTGTATATTGAATACCTGCTAATAATGTCTCCACAGAGCCTTCTCTTCTCCAGACTGAACCCCCAACTCTCTCAGCCTTTCTTCACAGCAGAGGCGTTTCAGCCCTCTGACCATTTTCATGGCCTCCGCTGGACCCACCCTGCCAGGTCCTTGCCTTTCTTGCAGAGGCGGCCCCAGAGCTGGACACAGGGCTAAAGACAGGGTCTCACACAGCAGAGCAGGGGCAGGGAATCAACTCCCTTGACCTGCTGCCACCCTTCTCTTGATGCAGCCCAGGATATGCTGATATATATTATATATGTAACATACACATATATATCTCATGATATATCTAGATATGCTTCATGATATATCATGATATGCCTCATCCTCTGATCTATTTATAACTGAAGGCAAATTGAGACTGGCAGAACAGGCTGACTCATACTTGCTTATCTAACAAACAGTTGCTTTAACGCTTGCTGACTTCAACAAACATTTGATTTTAACTTAGTCTTAAATAGCATAGGAATTAAAGAGGTATAATAAATAACTGGGTGTCTGTTGTTGAAGATGTTGGTGTCGATTTCAACACACCGGGTGACACGGCAAAGGGACCCTCCAACAGCAGTCATCCTACAGATGCTGCTGCAGTATGTCACGTAAGGCCATTTCCATTAACAGAGGCACCTGAATTTAATTATTGCCATTATCAACACAGACTTGCCAAAGTCTGTGTCTTGGCTTGGAAATGGGTTTGAAACCTTTCATTAGTGAAATTGGTACTCTTCATTGACAAAGAGGTTGATTCTCTATTTGCTTTGGGTATCTGGTAGGAAGTGGAAGTGCTACATACTCTGGCTTTTCTTCTAATATGCTCCATGGTTCCTGGAGAAAACATCCATTCACAGAAGCCAAAATCAAACCAGATGGATTGCTTAAAAAAGTATCTATTTTTAGACTGATATCCTGGGGAGCTGCTAGCTAAACTCAAGACAGTCAGATGCCTGGTTGTGAAATGATAGTCTCCTTCAAGTTCTTGCTGATGATGTGAAGTCACATATTGCACAAGAAGCAGTGGAGGGGAATGGAACTACTCACAGGAATTTTGAGTAAGAAATTATTTGTAAGCTGGCAGGACAGCAATGTTAATGTTTTGTTTCTCACAAATATTATCTGGTTCTGCCCAGGGCATTCAGATAAAACATAACACTTTAAAAAGAAAATAAAAATTATGCAGTGCTTTAAACCAGGTGATCTCAAAATTCTATTCAAAAAGAGCCACTTAATGAGTGAAATTTCAGCCTTGGATGCACTATTAAAATTCACTGGTGTTCCCATATCTTTGGGCTGAAATGATTAATGAATTCATGCCTGGTGAAACATATATGACTGGGTGCAGGTGCAGAAAAAGCTGTGGAGTAACCAGTGATGTGAAGAAGGTGAGATGCTGCACATGACACTGCAGGTAGCGTGTGAGGCAGCAGCAGGCAGGTGCCAGGCTGGGCAGCGCTCTGAGCTGGTGCTATTCACAGCTTCACTTTTGTTCCCTCCCTGTTTTCTTCAGGCAGGCAGGATTGAAAAACATGTGACACTGGTTACTGAAATGGCTTTCTTCTAAGTCACATGCTGTTTAGAAAAGCCTCCTCTCTCTTACTGCCTGTTGCACAGAAGAGAACTCATTATTTGGCTAGAAAGGAAAACAGACAGCTTCTTGCTGGAAGCCCTCATTGTTCAGCAAAGCTTAAGCTATCTATAGTTGCAGGGTTTTAAATACTGCAAAACACTGACCCAAGGGGAGTTATCGTCACTCATAAGAACAATGGGTACAGAGTGCAACGTTTAGGTCACCATTTGGTTTTCCTGCTGCATTCAGAGCACCAAGTTGCACTTGTAAGAGATGCTGTGGCCAGCTTAAGACACACACGCACAAAGCCAGCCCTGGCGTAAGCCTAACGCAGCTGCTGCTTCTCATCTGCTCTTGCTTCAGAGAGGCCATTCCCTACACCCCGTGGTCAGAACCACAAATTGAAGGGAAGGGGAGGGGGATACAGACAAGGCTGGGGGGAATGACTGGCTCATGAAGGGCTGGAACCTCAGACTGCCTTCTGGCTGCTCTGCACAGCTCTCCGAGCACCAAATGGAAAGGCTCTCTGCCTTAGTGCAGGAGCAGTTAAAGCTTAAGCAGGAGAAATTCAGCCCTGGCCATAGCAAGGCACTGCCGTGGTCATGCCATGGGAACAGCCTGGCCACAGCACCCCTCCCGGGACCTACCTGAGACCAGGTACCGCTGCGGGAAGGTCTCGTTGCCACACGTCTCGAAGCTGAAGTGGTCCCGCACCTGCTGGAAATGCCGCTCCTCCAGGTCCCACCCCGCGGCCCGGGCAGCTGGAGGAGGAACCGTCAGCGACGGGGAAACCGGCACCGCCACCCGGCCGGGCCCAACTCTGGGAACTGGGGCTCAGGGGAGCCCGGGACACCCACCCAGCACTCCCCAGGCCGTTGGGGAGCTCTGGCTTCAGCTCTGTTTGTTCAGCCACATGTGGGAAGCAGAGTTTCCTAAGCAGCTCTAGCAGCCCTGACACTCTTGTGAAACCTTTATCCTCTGAGGCACCATATAGTAAACCCTGTGTAGGACTGCCTCTGGACAGTGGCGCACTTTCTTCAGCTACCTCAGAATTGGATGTTTCCAGACACTGACTGCAAAAAAGTTGTTTAACATTTGCGAAACTATCTATTATAAACATTTCAGCCTCTTTTGGGGGGACAGTGGCAGTTCAAAATAAGGAAGGAAACTATTGAGATATACTTCCTGATGCTTCCTGGCTTTTTGGCCAGCTGTGGTGGCTGTCTAGTTTATTACATGACTGTCGTTACAGGATAAGTGTAAGGTCTGATTGACCTTGTTGCTTCTCCTCACCCTAAGGATGTTCTACATAAAGTAATATTTATCCCCTTTTTTCAGTACCAGCCCCAGTTGTTGGTCTCAAAGCATCCAACCGAAACATGACAGACAGTCTGTGGTTCACCTGGGCTCCAGCGGCAGGAGATGTTGATTTCTATGAGCTGAATCTTTACAACCCAAATGGGACACAGAAAGAAACATGGCACAAGAAAGACCTGAAAGAGTGGCATTTCCAGGGGCTCATTCCTGGCAGAAAGTACACTCTGGTTGTGGTGACTCACAGCGGTGACCTGACCAACACAGCAAACACTGAAGGAAGAACAGGTAGAAGACACAAAAGCTTTGGGATTTTTGTTTAGACCCATCTGTCAGAATTCATATTAGTTCTCAACTATGCAACAGACATTCTGAGAGAGGATTTATTGTCACTGAAAGTGTAAAGATAAAGGATATCCTTAAGGGCATTAAGCCAATGTAGGGCGATTTTGTTCAGCACTCTTCTTTCAAAGGCTCAGGAATATGTAATGTCTGTGAAAGTCACTACCATCAACACACATGCAGTAACTGGCTGTGTACGTGGGATAATATAAACCACTTTGTGATGCATGAAGAAAATAATGTGTGTTTCACCTTGTGTAAAAATTTGTTAAGAATCTCTTTTTTTTTTTTTTTTTCCTTT